TCCTATGATGTTGCTTGGCCTGCTGTGTTCATCCAGCTCTACACCTTGTTGGCCCAGATATTCAGATTGTCAGAAAGTCAATGTAGCAGTTTAGACTGGAGTTTCTCCTCAGAATTCCTGACTAAGCTGTCTCCATGGGATTGTCTAAAGAAATTAAACTGATGGATAATTCTTCTCCATCTGGAACTCTCTGAAATATCCATTTTAAGTTGGAGAATTTGAACTCGCTTCAGCCTAATAGTTAACCAGGAAAAGCTGAAGGATTATAAACCTACCCTGGTTCCCTGATAATGATGAAACTGAACTACTGACTCACCACTGACCTCCCTCTACAATGTACATCCCCTCCCCCAGCCCCTGAAACTCTGAACCAACAATCCCACCTGAACACATTTGACAACACCTTTAACCCACATTGTCCCATTCCCACTCCACACTTAAAGCTCCCAACATGACCTCGGATCACATCACCCCTGGATTCGACGATTCCAAGACAGGCTCACCACAGGAGATCATGTCTTAGAATTTCAAGTGCAAAAACCATCTGAAGATAAGTAGGCGATTCTTAATCCAATTAGGGTCCAAAATGGAGGGCTAAATCTTCCTAGACATCAGCCTAGTGTCATTTTTGGCAAGTTTCATGAATTGTTTCTCACTGCAAGGCCTAGCGAGTTTTCTTACTATATCATTTCAAACTTGGCTTGTTAACTATCATCACGACCCACTTGGGAAAATGTGCTAATTCTTGAACTCCACTCCTCCTGGTGTCATCACAAAAGTTAAAGATTTCATCAAGTTATTCAAAGTCCCCAATTTACCTATTTAATGAAGTCAGGTTAACAGAAAATACTGACTTAATATGAAATACTAATCAGTTCTAACTACAGGTGAACGGAATATGAATTATCAAGTTATAACTCTACCCCTTCTTGAACCCCTACACACACATGCCGACAGATTAGACAAACAAAAATACATCGATGTTACGGGTGAAGTAAAAAGTATTAGGAAATACTTCAATAGTGCTCCTAAGTTCTGATCTCCAATCTTCTGCCTGCCGAGTCCTGTCAATTCTTTACTACATACACAGCACAATTGGCACATTAATTGTTCACTATTTCTGGTTAGAGGCAGCAGCTTGTATGCAACTAGTAAATGAGAATAGCTAGCTACTTACAATTCTTTGTTACTTCTTTGCAAGGAGAGAGAGATGCTGTCTTTTTAGAGTTTGAAAATTTTCTGCCTTTGTATTGTGAGCATTTAAGCTCTGGCTGAAGAGACAGAGTGCAAAGAGACAAGGCAGTGATGCCGTGAACATTGAAGTGGGCAAAAAGTGAGTGAGCACTAAGAGAGAACAAGGAAACCTGAGGTGCAGCCTCGTCCAATCCATGAGGTGCAAAATGTGCTGGCAGCAGTATTAAATCAAAACCGAAAGAACTGCGGATGCTGTAAATCAGGAACAAAAACAAAGTTGCTGGAAAAGCTCAGCAGGTCTAGCAGCATCTGTGAAGGAGAAAACAGAGTTAACGTTTCGGGTCCGGTGACCCTTCCTCAGAACAGTATTAAATCAAAGTTGCTGGTGCGCTCCAAAGTGCAGCATTCAAATATAGTATTGTAAGTGATTTGGAGATGTGCCATGGTGTGCAGTGAATCTGGTACAAGTGGGATGCCAAAGTCTGTCGATGGGGAGTGCATGCAGTTGCTGCCCATAGAGTGTGCTTCGAGATGTTGGTGACTGATGTCCAAGATGAATATCCAGAAGAGTGACAGCAAGCTGGAGTCACCAGATGACTTCTCTGACTTTAATGTCAGGAATTATTGTTGTCTAGCTTCTATCTCAGGAGAATAGGAAATGAGGCAAGATGAAATAATAATGCATGGTAAGACCAGTCAGCACTCACGAACAAGAATCTCGTTTTTGCCATTTAACATGGTTGGAAAATAGGATATTTTGCTCTCAGTGTCAAAAACTCCTTGCAGGCCATTTCTCACAATCTTCCCAACTTTCTCACTGGTTCAGTTGTTCAGGGGCAAAGAAGATTCCACCCAGAGTTTACAACCCTGATCAGAATTACTAGGATGACATTCATATTATAAAATACTACACCTAAAGGGTGTTTAAATAATGTTTTAACAAAACAAATACTTGCTTACAGTGAAATGCATCAGCTGCTCACCTCCTGGGTATGGCAGCCAGCCTACTCTGCCTTGCATGTATTGTAGCCGAACTTTGCTCCTAGTGAGCTGGCTTATTTCAAGCCCACCCTCAGTTGCCACACATTCACTTAAGGGCTCAGTAAACATTTTCTAATTAGTTTACTGATCCATTAGAACTCTCCTATACATGTTGGACCTGGTGTGGGACCTGGAAATGTGTTAACAATCCATTGTGTATGGTAAAATTGAAGGTTTGGGAAATTTATACTTTAAACTATTTATATATGCACACTGGAAAATGCATCCCATTAAATTGCACCATTGTGTGCATATTCCAGGTTTAACACTGAGCTGAGTTAGTTAATCTCAGTGAGGAAATAAAAGATGTTTGGTATTCTTGCAATGTACAAGAGAAAGACAGATTGAGGTTCATGTTACTAATTAGGTGATGCCAACTGTGGAACTCTGTGATTTGGCTCTCTGTTACCTAAGGGCACTTGCAGTCATTTGTTAGTGCTTCAGCCACACCTTGGCTGCAATTGATTAATCGATCAGTAACTTGGAGCCCAGATTGGTCTTTATGGTTTACCTGTTTATTATTTTAACCAGCTAAGATTCCAATTTCCTGATCTCAGACAATTCCACTGGGTTAAGGATTGGGATGGTTCTTGATCAGAAGGAGTAAGAGAAAATGACCCAGCAGCTCTTATGCTCTTGCTTGCCTCCTGACACAGTAGTGTAAATACAGAGAATTTGATGATGGGTTGTATACTCTATCAGTTAGATCCAAAAGAAGAGCATCACTTCTATAATATTAAGTAAACTAGAGAAGTAATTATTTTCAATACCTTATTGACTACCTTTTTACAGATTCACTTATTCTGTGTTCAGATTTAATTGATACTGAAATCAATAGCACTCTTACCAGTCCTGCACCATCACTTAATGCAGGTCAAGATTTCCGATGTTCAGGTATGTCTTTTAACTGTTAAGTTTTATTTTTACCTGCTCTTGTACATTCTGTGTATTAACTTATTACATCATTTTTGTCGGGCTTTTATTCACTTTTACTTTGTAACTTGGTTAATGGAAATTGGGTTGTCTGATAGGGTAGCTTATGTACACGTAGGAGAAATGAAGTCAGTTTTCTTAAGTTGGCATTTGTGGAATGTCTAGTCAACAGGCAGATTATAGCCATTACAGCACAGATGGAGGCTATTTGGCCAGAGGAGTCCAAGCTGCACCCTGTAGACCAATCCAGTCAGTCCCATTCCTCTGTTCTATTCCCAACTCCTGGTGACTAATCCACTCTAAGCATACTCAGCACATCTTGCCTATCAATTTTCACCCAATCCATTACTTCTCCTATCACACCTTCTCCCATTATTCTGTCACCCTGTTTACGTATTTCCACATTTGCACATGCTCATGCACTGAGAAGATTACAGTTCTCCCATCCTACACCAAGACTAGTAGATAATAGATCTGAACTGTAAAGTTACCCCTTGTAAACATAGAAAAATAATAATGAATGATGGAACTATAAAAATAAAAGATTCAGTTAGTTTCTTGCTCTTACGCAAACATTACTGTCTTAAGCTGCAGCAGTGCTTCAGTAAGTCCAATGCAAGCTGGAGGAACAGCATCTTATTTTCCACTTAGGCATTTCACAGACCTCAGGACTCAACATTGAGTTCAACAATTTCATAGTTTGCTCACTGTCCTTTGATTAATGACAACCCCCACCGTGTTTTGTTTACTATCAGCAAAGTCAACATGTTTTCTACTATTCGTTGATACGAGGGGTGTTATTAAACTTGAGAGGGTGCAGAAAAGATTTACGAGGATGTTGCAGAATTGTAGGTTTTGAGTTATAGGGAGAGGTTGAAAAGGCTGTAACTTTTTTTCCTGGACTATCCAAGGCTAAGTGGCTATCTTATAGAAGTTTATAAAATCATTATGGGCATTAATAGGATGAATAGCTAAATTCTTTTTCCAGGGTGAGGGAGTCCAAAACTAGAGAGTATAGGTTTAAGGTAAGAAGGGAAAGATTTAAAAAGGACCTAAGGAGTAACTTTTTCACACAGAGGATGGTGCATGGATGGAACTAGCTATCATATGAAGTGGTGGAGATGGGGACAATTACAATATTTAAAAGACATCTGGATGGATACATGAACAGGAAGGGCTTACAGGAATATGAGCCAAATGCTGACAAATGGGACAATGTCTGATTGGGATGTCTGAATGACGCAGAGAGGTTGACCAAAGTATTGTTTCCATACTGTATGACTGTATGACTCTGGTACCTATTTTGCATCTATTTATAGATTCATAGAGTCGTACAGCATGGAAACAGACCCTTCAGCCCAACTCATCTATGGTGATCAGGTTTCCCAAACTGAACTTGGTCCTATTTGCCTGCATTTGGCCCATATCCCTCTAAACCTTTCCTACCCAATGTACCTGTCCAAATGTATTTTAAATGTTGTAATTGCACTCACCTCTACCACTTCCTCAGGCAGCTAGTTCCACATATGCACCACCCTCTGTGTGAAAAAGTTGCCCCTCAGGTCCCTTCTAAATCTTTCTCCACTCACCTTAATCCTATGCCCTCTAGTTTTGGACTCTCCTACCCTGGGGAAAAGACCTTGTCTATTCACCTTACCTTTGCCCCTCGTGATTTTATAAACCTCTATAACATCACCCCACAGCCTCCTACACTCCAGTGGAAGAAGTCCCAACCTATCCAGCCTTTCCTTACAACGCAAACCCTCCAGTCTCAAACTAAACAAGTCCCATCTGTCTGCGCTCGGCCCATATTGCTCCAAACATTTCTTGTTCATATACATATCGAAATGTCTTTTAAATGTTGTAACTGTACCCACATCCGCCACTTCCTCTGGAAGTTCATTCCTCACACAAACCACTCTCTGTGTAAAAAATTTCCCACCATGTCTTTTTTAAATCTTTCTCCTCTCACCTTAAAAATCTGCCCCCTAGTCTTAAAAACCCCCTCCTAGGGGAAATGCATCTGCCATTCTTACCTATTTCCCTCATGATTTTATAAACCTCTTTAAGGTCGCCCCTCAACCTCCTATGTTCCAGTGAGAAAAGTCCCAGCCTACCTAGCTTCTCCTTATAACTCAAACCCTCCATTCCCAGCAACGTCCTGGTAAATCTCTTCTGATCCCTCTCCAGCTTAATAATATCTTTCCTATAACAGGGCGATAAGAACCAGACACAGTACTCCAGAAGAGGCCTCACCGACGTCCTGTAAAACCTCAACGTAATGTCCCAACTCCTATACTCAGAGGTCTGAGCAATAAAACGAGAGTGCTAAGTGCCTTCTAAATCACTTGCTGTTTCTTGTTCAGTTAACCATATAGCATGCTGTGAAAGCATGTGGAACAATTACTCTCCACATATATTTCTGATTTATTGTGTCCACTTTTCATTCATTTGCTAACAGATTGAAAAATTTATGCTGTTTCTTTCAATTCCTTCCATAATACTGAGTTAACCAATTATAGTAGGGATGACAATTTGGATGCTGCAATTAGCCATAGCATTTATGGGCTAAAGATATAAAAGACAGTTAAGATTTCAATCCCTTATTGCTACGCAGTAAACCCTTTTAGAATTTTGTGTGTGTGTGCAAGCATGTGGCATTAAATGAAGACCCAGGATTACTGAATAACCTGAACCTTACTGCCTAGGTATACATATAAAGAATGACACTTGCTTTGAGATCCCATCTAATGATTATTAGCCACAGAATCATACTGTAGCACAAAATCTGAGCCTCTCGGATAATGAGGGCAAAATTGAAAAGTGTGCGTCAGACAAATCCAACAGGGTGGTCAGCCATTGAAACAGCATGTTAAAAATTCTGGTAAAGTCCTTTGTCACTGTTATTCATCAACAATTGTTCTCTGATTATTCCCAAATCCAATTGTCAGAAGTGACATGACACCACCTGATGAAGGAGCAGCACTCCAAAAGTTTGTAATTTCACATAAATCTGTTGGACTATAACCTGGTGCCGTGTGATTTCTGACCTTGTCCACCCCAGTCCAACACCAGCACCTCCACATCAAATCCAATGGAATATGGTACAGTGGGCATCTGGTACACTGGCACCTTATTTAAATGGCCAGTCTTCATCAGTAAAGTGAGTCCATTCTCATGAACAAAGATCACTGTTAATATCAGAAACCGTGTGTGATATTAAATTTTTTGTATCCTAAATGTAAACTATTTCAAAACCCACACATTGGCACAAGAGTTAAATCAGGTGGCATGGATGTTTGAGTCCAAATGTAGTACCTTTCCAACCCAGCTGACATTCTTACCAGCATCACTAACATTACTAACTGAATACTGTTTGGGAAACAAATGAATTGATTCTGATTTTACCTGTTTAACTGTCAAGGTAACTGGGACACAAATATTTCAGTTTTCAGTGACCTAAACTCAATAAAGTAACATTTTCAAAACTCCTATAAGTAAAAGAAGCCTAGTGCAAAAATTACGTTATTGAAAATTCTCATCTATCTTGTTTAATCTTTAATAGGTTGTTCAACTGTAGCAGCATCCCTGAATAGTAGAAATTTCTGCAAAATTCTTCAGTTGTGCCCCAATAAATGTGATCGACACAAAGTGATTCAAGAATGTGAAGATAGATACAAAAGGGAATTAAAGAAGTTATTAAACTGTTACAGTTCTATGACTGACAAAAGTAAGCAATCAGTTTATCAACCTTAAGAATAGTTATATCTGTATACCCAAACTGTCACATTGAGATGTGGGGATTGTGGGGGAGCAATGTCTGCAAAACAAAGAGAAACCTTTTAGTTTGAAGGCTAGCACGGGAACTATGTTGACACTGCACAAATTTTTGAATACAACAGCAACAATGTAGATAAAAACTGAAAGAACTGTGGATGCTGTAAATCAGAGAATAAAATAGAAAATGCTGGAAAAGCTCAGCAGGTCTGGCAGATCCGTGGAGAATAAACACTGATGCTGCCAGACCTGCTGAACTTTTCCAGCAATTTCTATTTTTGTCAGCAACAATGTAGAGGCTAGATCACTGTTACCAATATACATTAATTTTTTTATTGATTTACGGGATGAGGACATCGTTGGCCAAGCCTGCATTTATTGCCCATCTTTAATTGCCCAGAGGGCAGTTCTTAAGAGTCAACTACATCACTGTGGGTCTGGAGTCACAAGTACGCCAGACCAGGTAAGGATGGTAGTTTCCTTCCCTAAAGGACATTAGTGAACCAGATAGATTTTTCCAACAACCAATAATGGATTCATGGTCATCTTTAGACTCTTAATTCCAGATTTTTATTTAAGTGCTTATTAAATGACCTATTTACCATTTGATTCCTTGCTAATAAAATACTGCCCTGGATTCAGTGTTCATTAGTCACAGTCATAGAGTTTTTACAGTACAGAAAGAGGCCCTTCAGCTCATCATGTCTGAGCTGGTCATCAAGCATTTTAATCCCATTTTCCAGCACTTGCCTGTAGCCTAGTTTGCTATGGAGTTTCAAGTGTTCATCTGAAAGCTCTTAAATGTCTTGGGGGTTCTTGCCTCTACCATCCTTTTCAGCAGCGAGTTCCAAATATCCATAATCTTCTAAGAAAAGAAAATCTTTCCTCATGTCCCCTCTAAGCCTCATGCTCCTTATCTCAAACTATGCATCCCCTCACCCCCACATCCCTTTGTGGGTTCCTACTAAGGGAAAACGTTTCTCCCTATCTACTCTGTCTATGCTGCTCAGAACTTTGTACACCTCAATCAGATCCCCCTTGGCGTTCTCTGCTCTAAGGAAAATAACCCTAGTCTCTCCTTATAGCTGAGTTGCTCCAACCCAGACAACATCCCGGCGAATCTTTTCTGTACCTTCTTTAATGCAATTATATCCTTCTTATTGTGTGATGATAAAAAATACACACAGTACTCCAGCTATGGCCTAATTAATGTTATATACACCTCCATCAAACCTTCTTGCTCTTGTATTCAGTACCTGTTTCAAGGATCAGTGGACATACAGACAAAAATCCCTCTGATCCTCTGTACTTTCTAGGATTCTACCACTCAACGTGTGTTCCCTTACCTTGTTAGTCCTCCCAAAATGCATCACCTCTCACTTTTCAATTTTGAATTTCATTTGCACTGTTCAGTTTATTTGACCAGCCAGTCTATATTGTCTAAGCCTTCCCTCAACAAATTCAATCTAATTTGTTAGACATGATCGCTCCTTACAAAGCCATTCTGACTATATTTGATTATTCCTTATCTTTCCAAGTGGAGATTAATTCTGTCCGTCAGAATTTTTTCAAGTAGTTTCCGTACAACATGATAGACTTACTGGCCTATTGTTTCCTGGTTTACCCTTATCACCTTTCTTGAATAATCGTACTACATTAGCTGTCCTCCAGTCCACTGGCACCCCTTCTTTGGCCATCAGGATCTGAAAATTAATATCAGACCCCCTCCAACCTCCTACTTTGCCCTTGCCACTGTTTTCTTCGATTGGAAATTGCATATGCAGAACTATGATGATGATTCAATGTTGCTTGGCCACAGCTGTAACCTGAGGAGGATCACATCTGCTCCCAAACCAGTCACTCAACAGTATTGAGCTAACAGTTCCAAGTAATGATAGGAAAGTGCAAATCCACTCTGGTAGAGCTTTTAGAGACCTGGGAAGGTATGGATTACATTGGTATGGATTCCAATGATTTACTCCATTATTTTTCACTCCAATTTTTGAGGTGTATTCTGATGTTTCTGCTTTTGCTATGTGGAAATAACTGGTCTTCGCTACATATTTTTCTCTTGCTAGCTTAGCTGATAATGTAAAGTTTTGACTTGGAAAAAGTTTGGCTGTGAACTTCTATCTTACTTCATAATTCTTTCACAAGTGTGTAGCTTGTGATCATAGTCCTATTTACTACATTAATGTTGAATTTTCAAACCCACAAGAACCTGAGAAGTATCAAAGATTAACTTTCAATAGCACTGTTGACTACCGTGTTGTGGATAAAAGACAAACAAGTTGTCCTCTATCCATTTTAAATATTTTCCATCATTGGCAAGTGGGAGGAATGGAGAAAATGGATGAAAAACAGTGAGATTGTATTTCACAGCATTTGTTATTGTATAGCACATTATTCTGGTTTAATCACAACTATTTGAAGATTCCTTGAAGGGTAGAATTTTAACCTTTAAGCAATTTATATATTCTGTTGTAATGAAGGTTAATAACATTGTTATTTCAGAACTTGAGTTTTAAAGTGGAGGAAAAATGGATTTTAGTTTTCAGTTCTATGATGATATCAAAAAGTAATTTTGATCATTGAGTAAAAACAGCATTTACAAGAAGTCATGTAACTTAAGGTAAATGAACAGCAGGCACCTGGGGGAATAATCGCTAAAGTGTTTGTTATCATTTTTGCCTTGAATTACTTACCCACAAAAAGAGCGTTGGGAGGGGTTTGAGGGTGTGTGGAAAAATCTTGATGCAGAAAGAAGAGGTCCATAACACAAAAGTGCTATTAGTAGCAGTCTTCAAGTAGTCAGATTGGTGTTGAAGTCCTGAGTTACTTAGAAGCCAATGAAAAGAAAGCTCCTGAAATAAAAGGCAGTGGAAATATCAGACAGAAAGATGTCCAGAAGGCTGTTGAAGACATGAGTTTGGAAAACCTATCTTCAGTAATAAATGAGCTGAGATAGCAGCTTGTTTTAAGAGTGTCAGGAAATATATCTGAAGAAGATAGCATTGAGTGAATGTTAGAAATTTGGCAAAAATGTGCCAACTGAGCAAGAAACATTAGTACGGAGATAGGGGTGATTCTTAACTGAAGTTTGAGTGCCTGTATGAATATTGCTGAGATAAAAGGAATGAATCTTTCTTTTTGATATTTTGATATCCAGTATATTGTAGCTTGCATTTTTCTTTTGTGTAATAAACTTTTATGGTCTTTTGTTAAAGGTATATTAGAAACCTCTTATGAATATGTTCAGAAAAAGAAAAATAAAACTTGTGGTCTGTCAAGCCAGGTTTCACTCTGGGATGTGACATGCCCAGTATTTTCATCAGCTGGGATCAGAACACTTTCTGAAGCAAAAAAAAATGATAATGGACATTTTTGCTTACTTTATAAAGTTATATATAGTTATCTGAGATTAAAGGTCTAGAAATAAACAACCAAAGGAATTTGATATGACAAGGTGTAGAGCTGGGTAAACACAGCAGGCCAAGCAGCATCAGAGGAGCAGGAAAGCTGACGTTTCAGGTCTGGACCCTTACTATCTCAAAGGAATTTGATGCCACTTCTTGTGTGGTATCATAATGCAATTTCCAGATTCTTGTAAATTTAAAGAACTCTTGCCACATTGCTACTGAACTCGGTCAAAGTTTGTGGTAGAATATCGAACATACACACAAAATAATTTTTATACATAAAAACTTGTTACTTTTTTAAAAATCTAAAACGTCACAAGCATTTGAATTTTTGTTTAAAAATTCAGTACTCAAAAGGGTTGTTACACAAAAAAAATCAGCACACACAGATAGCAGAAAGTTATGGTCAATTCTGAACCGGTAGGTTTGCCTGATGGAACATTTTAAGCCATTTTGCAACATCTGGTAATCTCGCATAAGACTTGATGTTTCAACCCCTTTAAAAAACCAGGAAGTGTTTTATGTTACCCTTGTGTACTCAGTCAGTTTAGCCAATAAAAGTGGGTCTGTCTTTTTTTTTTGACATTCTACAAATCTAAGGCTTTACATGAAATGACAGCTCAAAGCCAAAACTCTTTGCTGCTTGTGAAGTTTCAGCAAGCTTTTACTTTGATGCAATTACTTCTTCCCTATAAAACGGGAATCATAATTCAGAGTAAAAATGTCAGCAGTTGTAATTTGTTGAAAACATGAATGCTGTTGGTATGAAGAGCAGAATTATACACTGAAGCAGAATTAGTATGCTCAGAAGTCAGGCATTTGATTGTAACCCATGGACTTTTCTATTAGCAGTATATGTGGTAGATGACTAGATGTCAAATAGCCAACTTTTGAAAAACAAAACCAGAATAGCTTGCAGATTATAGCTATGAATCAAAGCATCCATGAAAAGACAAATGCAATATTCTTTGTGAATGTTGTATTGAAGAACTCTTACAAGTAGAAATATATTTCTGGACATCATAGACAGTTAACGCTGTCAAACAGCCTAAGTGAGAATGGTAAAAGAACACTGTAGCAATGCAGCTTATTTCCTACATATTTTTAAGTTCTTCACACATTTCTTTTCTTAAGCTCGTCTCCTAAAACTGCTTATTGATCCTAAGGATATGATTCCGTAGGTATTTGCTGGCCAGCAGTGTTCCCCACTCCTCGTCTGTGTGGTGGTCCCTCAGAATGAAGATGGCCTTTGTCCATGGCAAGAATCTACACATGGAGAGGCCACTGTGCTGCTGCAGCCACATGCTTCTGGCTGAACAAGAAACTCCCTTGCTAATTGCCTACCATAGGCATATCAGAAGGACATATAGATAGATAATCAACCTGTTCAGCTGCATTCTATGGCCATTTATTCCTAATGTGGGACTTGAAACCAAAGTTTTTGACCAAGAGGTAGGGACAGTACACATTGCACTTCAAGACCTCCCAGTTCCTCATATGATAATAGACAGAATTCACTCACTTCCCCTCCCTGCTCCCAGCATCACTAACTTCAACCTCTGTTGAGGATCAAGATGACACTATAAAGCTCCTTTTTTGCTTTGTTTGATTAGTCTTATTTCCTCTCTCCTCCATGTTACATTCAGATCTTTGTACATAACCATTTCATATCTCATTTGTTATTTAATTTCCCCTGCCCTCACCCTATTGCATCTTTACATGTCCATCTTTCTTCAGTTCTGATGAGAGGTCACTCAACCTGAAATATTAACTCTATTTCTCACCACAGATGCTCCCTGACTAAAGAGATAACAAGGTGTAGAGCTGGATGAACACAGCAGGCCAAGCAGCATCAGAGGAGCAGGAAGGCTGACGTTTCGGGCCTAGACCCTTCTTCAGAAAATGCCCCCTGACTAGCCCAGTTTCTCAAGCACTTTTTGCGCTTAGTTAAAATGTCAAACATCTACAATAATTTGATCCTGTTTAATGCTTGGTATCTGAGTGTGTTATACCATTTGTTTTTCGTTTTGTCCTGAGATCATGGATCCATTTAGTATAGTTTCCTGGATGGAGGTCAGGGTCACAATTCTACTGGTACTTCCACGGCCACAATCATTTGGTGCAGAAGTTGCCCTCTGCTATTTTTTTGAGAGTTAACAACACTGCAATCCCGAATCTCCCTCAGCTAGATCTCCAGAAAGGCGTAAAAGACCTGGGGACGGCCTGCCCAGGTTTCCCATCCACCCGTGAGGTTGCTGTAGCCTGAAAAATTCAAGTGCTACTGAACTTATCTGAGACATGCTGAGATCCCTTTAATTAGAAATCTTCCATCTGGCAGAATGGATGCTTCTGTATGATGAGTGCAGCTCCCCTTTAAGAGGCACAAGTCAGCTGAAGTAGCTGCCCAGATGTCCGTTCTTTGTTTCAATCCCTGTAGAGACTATTAGCTTTTTAAAAAGAGATGACTTTCCCTGAAACAGATGAAAAAAACCAAAAGACAATATTTCACATTATAAGGCTTTTATTAAAACCAACTAAAATCAGCACACTTCAAATACTATTTAATAGGTAACTAATGCACAAGGTTAAAGAATAGATAAAAACTAAAAGAACTGCAGATGTTGAAAACGAGAAATAAAACAGAATTTGCTAGAAAAACTCAGGTCTACCAGAACGTATCTGAAGAAGGATCACTGGACCCGAAACATTAGCTCTGATTTCTCTGCACAGGCGCAGCCAGATCTGCTGAGTTTTCCAGCAATTTCTGTTTTGTTTCTAATTTTCAGCATCCACAGTTCATTTGGTTTTTTTTATCTATTCTTTAAACAAAACAGAAATTGCTGGAAAATCTCAGCAGATCTGGCAGAATGTGTCTAAAGAAGGGTCACTGGACCTGAAACGTTGACTCTGATTTCTCTGCACAGAAGCTGCCAGATCTGCTGCGTTTTTCTAGCAATTTCTGTTTTTGTTAAAGAATAGTTACTTCTGCATTAACCTAATACAGTCAAATATGTGGTACAGCATGTTTTTACATTTCCCCATTCTTAGAATCATAGAGTAATAAAGCATGGAAACAGGCCCTTTGGCCCAAACTGGTCCATGCTGACCATGGTGCCCACTCTGCTAGTTCCAATTGCCCACATTTGGTCCATATCCCTCTAAACCCTTCCCATCCATGTACCTATCCAAATGCTTTTTTTAAATGTTGCTATTGTACCAGCCTCAACCACTTTCTCTGGCAGCCCATTCTGTATATGCACCACTGTCTACATGAAGAAGTTGCCCCTCAGGTCCTTCTTAAATCTTTCCCCTCTCACCTTAAACCTATGCCCTCTAGTTTTCAATTCCCTATCCCTGGGAAAAGTACTATATGCATTCATCCTATCTATGCCCCTCATGATTTTATACACCTCAATACACCTCATTCTCCTACGTTCCAAGGAATAAAGTCCTATCCTGGCCAACCTTTCCCTATAACTCAGGCCTACTAGTCCTTCTGGCAGATGGATAGTGATTCTGTAGTCTCAGAGTACTCAGGATTCTAGCAGGCTCATTTCTTGCTGCCGTGCCCTGTCCAACCTTGCAGTGTCCTTTGAAAATTGTTCCACCCATCTGGATCACTCCAGCCCTTGCTTCCACCTGTAAGACGCACCCCTGGTTCCTGAAATGTCAGAATGTCTGATGAATCGTGTTCCTTTCTTTTCAAAAAGCAAGCCAACTATTCCAAGCATTCCACTTAACTGCTAACACCAAAATTGTTAATCCTGCTCTTCACAGAAGCAACTGCTACTTTGCCACACAGTCATAATTCCTTTATTTCTGTTTCACATTCTTACTGTACCAGTTGTAAAAACCATCACTTGATTTTCAATCGGTTTCAGTTTGAGATCACATAGGCCTGTTTTCCTGGCAGAGTTTTAACAGACATTTTAAAACATAACCATGTTCAAAGCCTTGCATCCATAACACCTTGTTGAGCATTCAGCCTGTAGCAGTCATTGTGCTTGACTAAACACTGCAATCAAAGCCAGTGTGCTGCCTGCCTCAACAGCAACTCGGCATAGCTAATCCTAAATTTGATTCTATCTCCAGCATAAAGGAATAATCAGCTTTTAGCTCATTGCTTGGTGGTTTCACAAAGAGTGTTACACATTTCCTTTACTGGACTTAATTTTTTGTAGTATTTTTGAAAGCAATGCAATAGCTCAAATTTGTGGTGATATAAACTTTACAGAAGTCAGTCCTGTTCTTCTTTTTGTACCTCAAAACCAGTGATCTCAGCAAAGGGATATTCCAGATGAGTCATTTTAGACCCAGTGTACGTAAAATGTTGTTGTTTAGTTTATGATCTCTGGGTGTCAGGAAGCTTTTGAAAATTTTAGACATTTATGAGATATAGTGTTTTTGAGATACCAGTTTCAGGAAGGTAAATAGAGATCAATTACTTTACGAAAATCACTTTTACCATACCGAATTATAATAAAATGCAATCCAAATCAGTAGATTGTAATACAGCTCCTGTAAAATGTCAGGCTTAAGTACGTGATCTTGGCTGAATTTGCATTGCAGTGGAAAGGAGATTCTACATTTTACAATGTGCAATCTTTTGGATAAGATGCTAGAACCAAGTCTGCCTGTGAAGGCAGATGTAAAAGATGCTCTGACACTTTCTCATGAAGAGTGGGCAGCTGTTCTGATGTACTGCCCAACAATCCCTCCACCAGAATGAAAAGAACAGATTAGTTTAGCCATTTGCTGCTTATGCAACAGTCCTTTGTACAAGTCTTCTCTGCTTGCGCAAGAACAATGTCTGCTTCAAAAGTATACTGAATATGAAGTGCTTTGGGACATTGTGAGGCCAAGATCTTAAAGTGTGGTTCTTCTCCCACTTTGAAAATCTTTTAATCCATCTGTCAGTGACCACGTCATTCAAAAGTTCTAGTTTAATTTGTTGTCTTTCAGTGTAGACCTTTGTAAAGTTCTTTTAAGATGGTTATGCATTCACTTTTTATGACAATTATTGTGGGTATGATAATCTTGATTGGGAAATCTTGATTATGATAAATTTTATTTGTGAATTGCAAATGCTTTACAACATTGCAAGGTTTCTAACCATGATTTATTCTGTAGAGAATCTTCTGACTCCAATCAAGAAAGCTACGTCTCACATGACAAATTTCCACACACGGCGCACAGATTTTCTAATCATGCCTAAATCATCTACGAAAGATTTTCACACAAAAAGTAAGTAAATTTTGCCATTGGGTACTGGATTACACTTTTGGGTCCTGGGCTCAAATTCAGTTCAGATATGCACTTCTTTGGACAAAGTCCATACATGTGCTAGTTAGGTGGATTAACCATGCTATATTGCCCCATAATGTCCAGGGATGTGTGGGTTAGGTGGATTAGCCATGGTAAAAAGTAATGTACGGGGTTACAGAGAAAGCATGAAGTGATGGGTCTGGATGGGTTGCTCTCCGGAGGGTCAGTGCAAATTTGATTGGCCGAATGCCCTCTTTCTGCTGTAGGGATTCTGTGATTCAATGCATTAGAAGTACTGTTTCTTTTAAGATGTATACAAGCATAAATGTACAGCCATCTTAAAGGGACCACACATTGCAATAAGCCAGTTCTACACAGTAAACAAAAGTTAAGGGAAACATTGCTTAGAATTGATACACTACAATTTTGCAAACAATCAAATAGTCTGTGCCCATGTGTCGTATGACCTAAACAACATTCAGGATTGGACTCAGGCAAGTCACGTTTCACACAAGTATCACATGATGGCCATCTGTAATGAAAGAGCATAACCATCTCTGTCACTGGATCAAAATCCAGGAATTCACTGCTGAACAGCTCTGTCGGTATATCTGCACCACATGGACTACAACAACACAAGAAGGTAGAGATAACAAGGTGTAGAGCTGGATGAACACAGCAGGCCAAGCAGCATCAGAGGAGCAGGAAAGCTGATGTTTCGGGCCTAGACCCTTCTTCAGAAATGGGGGAGGGGAAGGGGATTCTGAAATAATTAGGGAGAGAGGGGGAGGCGGATAGAAGATGGATAAAGGAGAAGATAGGTGGAGAGGAGACAGATAGGTCAAAGAGGCGGGGGTGAAGCCAGTAAAGGTGAGTGTAGGTGGGGAGTTAGGGGAGGAGAGGTCAGTCCAGGGAGGACGGACAGGTCAAGGGGGCGGGATCAGGTTAGTCAGTAGGAGATGGGGGTGGGGGTTGAGGTGGGTGGAGGGGATAGGTGGGAGGAAGGACAGGTTAGGGAGACGGGGACAAGCTGGGCTGGTTTTGGGATGCAGTAGGGGGAGGGGAGATTTTGAAGCTTGTGAAGTCCACATTGATACCATTGGGCTGCAGGGTTCCCAAGCGAAATATGAGGTGCTGTTCCTACAACCTTCGGGTGGCGTCGTTGTGGCACTGCAGGAGGCCCAGGATGGACATGTTGTCTGAGGAGTGGGAGGGGGAGTTGAAATGGTTCGCGACTGGGAGGTGCAGTTGTTTGTTGTGAACCGAGCATAGGTGTTCTGCAAAGCGGTCCCCAAGACTCCACTTGGTTTCCCCAATGTAGAGGAGGCCACATCAGGAACAGCGGATACAGTATACCACATTAGCAGATGTGCAGTGAACATCTGCTTGATGTGGAAGGTCTTCTTGGGGCCTGGGATGGGGGTGAGGGGGGAGGTGTAGGGGCAGGTGTAGCACTTCCTGCGGTTGCAGGGAAAAGTGCCGGGGATGGTCGGGAGTGTGGAGTGGACGAGGGAGTCACGGAGAGAGTGGTCCCTCCGGAAAGCAGATAAGGGTGGGGTCAGATTGCAGATGGCGGAAGTGCCAAAGGATGATGCGTTGGATTCGGAGGTTGGTGGGGTGGTACGTGAGGACGAGGGGGATCCTGTTTTGGTTGTTATTGCAGGGAGGGGGTGTGAGGGATGAGTTGCGGGAAATGCGGGAGACGCAGCCGAGGGTGTTTTCAACCACTGTTGGGGGGAAGTCGCGGTCCTTGAAAAACAAGGGCATCTGGGATGTCCGGGAGTGGAATGCCTCATCCCGGGAGCAGATGCGGCGGAGGCGAAGGAATTGGGAATAGGGGATGGCATTTTTGCAGGAAGGTGGGTGGGAGGAGGTGTATTCTAGGTAGCTGTGGGAGTCGGTAGGCTTGAAATGGATGTCGGTTTCTAGGTGGTTGCCAGAGATGGAAACAGAGAGGACCAGGAAGGAGAGAGAGGTATCAGAGATGGTCCAGGTGAACTTAAGGTTGGGGTGGAAGGTGTTGGTGAAATGGATGAACTCTTCGAGCTCCTCGTGGGAGCACAAGGCGGCGCCGATACAGTCATCGATGTAACAGAGGAAGAGGTGGGGGATAGGGCCAGCATAGCTTCAGAAGAGGGATTGTTCCATGTATCCTACAAAGTGGCAGCCATAGCTTGGGCCCATGCAGGTACCCATGGCCACCCCCTTTGTCTGTAGGAAGTGGGAGGAATTGAAGGAGAAGTTGTTAAGGGTGAGGACGAGTTCAGCTAAGCGGATGAGGGTGTCAGTGGAGAGGGACTGGTCGGGCCTGCGAGACAGAAAGAAGCGGGGGACCTTTAGGCCATCTGCATGGAGAATACAAGTGTACACGGACTGGATGTCCATGGTAAAGATGAGGTGTTGGGGACCAGGGAATCGGAAGTTTTGGAGGAGGTGGAGGGCATGGGTGGTGTCACAGACGTAGGTAGGGAGTTCCTGGGACAAGGGGGAGAAAATGGAGTTGAGTTAGGTAGAGATAAGTTCGGTGGGGCAGGAGCAGGCGGAGACAATGGGTCGACCAGGGCAGTCAGGTTTGTGGATTTTGGGAAGGAGATAGAAGCGGGCGGTGCGGGGTTGGGGAATGATGAGGTTGGAGGCTGTGGGTGGAGGTCACCTGAACTGATGAGGTTGTGAATGATTTGGGAGATGATGTCTTGGTGGTCAGGGGTGGAGTCATGATCAAGGGGACAGTAGGAGGAGGTGTCAGAGAGCTGGCGTCTGGCCTCAGCGATGTAGAGGTCAGTGTGCCATACCACAACTGCGCCTCCCTTGTCCGCGGGTTTTATGATGAGGTTGGGATTGGAGCGGAGGGCTGCATGTTCTGCAGGGGAGAGGTTGGAGTGGGTGAGAGGAGTGGAGAGGTTGAGGCGATTGATGTCTCAACGGCAGTTGGAGATGAAGAGGTCGAGGGAGGGTAGGAGGCCTTGGGGTGGTGTCCAGGACGAGGGGGTGTGTTGGAGGCGGGAGAAGGGGTCAGTAGAGGGAGGGTTAGGCTCACGGTTGAAGAAGTAAGCGCGAAGGCGGAGGCGGCAGAAAAACTGTTCAACATCCAAGCGTGAGCGGTATTCATTGATGTTAGGCTGGAGGGGGATAAAGGTGAGTCCTTTACTGAGGACTGACCGTTCGTCCTTAGTGAGGGGGAGGTCTGGGGGGATGGTGAAGACTCGGCAGGGTTGGGTGTTACTGTCTCCTCTGGAGCTGCTGGCTGTGGAGACGGTGGGCGGAGCGATGTCGGCGGTGGGCAGTGCGGCATCGGTGTCGGTGGTGGGCGGAGCGGCATTGGCGGTGGGCAGAGCGATGTCAGCGGTGGGCAGTGCGGTGTCGGCGGTGGGTGGAGCAACGTCGGCATCGGCGGTGGGCGGAGTGACGTCCGTGGTGGGCGGAGTGGTGTAGGCGGTGGGCGGACTACTATCTCTGAACGCAAGAAGGTAGTTCACTAACGTCTTCTCAGACAGGAATGAACAATGAATGCTCGCCATTCTAGCAGTTCCATATCTCATGATTATGATTAATTTTATATGTGATTTTTAAGTACATTGTGACATTATAAAGTTTATTTGTTTAATATTGCAGAGATTCTTTTGACTCCAATCCAAAAAACGGCATCTCAGATGACGAATTACCGCAGACAACAAACAGATTTTATAACTTGGCCTAAAACATCTACAAAAGATATTCATGTAAAACGTAAGTATGGTTCTTCCTGCTGGATACAAAATTACATCTTTGAGTCCTAGGTTCAAATTCAGTTCAGTTGTGTTATAAACACGATGATTGTTAAGCAAATCATGATCTAAATATGACCAATAGTAAAAAAGTCCTGTGGAAAATACAGATTGTTCCACATGGAAACATTTACAATGGGTTTTTGCCTTTGTAGCATGATCTCAGATTTCAGTTTTACCAACAGCAAGCTGAGTGCTCCAGCTTATACCTGGCATGGCATTCAAACTCAGTTCATATGAGTTAAGAATATTTAGTGGGCCTCGGTCATTGCACCAGGTGCTCTCATATCAGACAGAAATAATCTGCATGGACATTGATATCCTCAAAAGGAAAGTTAGAACAAACATTTACATAAAGGGACATGAGGTGTTTTGTTAGATTTTATTGGGGTACAGATGATCAGAAGACCAGAATATCTTATCTTTGGAGTATGTTTCCATGGAGCAGAATCTTTGCGAATCCCACTGAATCTAGAAATAAAAACATAAGAGACCTTATAGCAATAAAATTTTTGTAAGGTCAGATCTGCTGTCCTATCGATGGCCTAGTCTGAAACTAGATCCCTCAGCAACTATTTCTCTTAGACTGGTGGGAACTTTCTTTCCTGCCACTGGGGACGAAATCTTCACCCTGCCTTCCAGAGACTGCAGTCACATTGACAGTTGCAAGGGCAACTGAATGTACAGTAGACAGTGGACTTCAGTAGTGCTCAGTAGCACCACCACTGACTGAGCAAGCAAGTCCTAAAAGACATAGCTGCCAGAAGGGCCTGCAGCAGGTTGTGATAGCACCATCAAGAGAGAAAACCTACTTGACCTCATCTCCAGCAGAATACCCATTGCAGATGCCCACTTGGAGTCAGAGTTTATGGTGGAAGTGCACAGAGAGCTACATTGAGAAACTGTCCCTGAATCACATTTCACCTGATGAAGGAGCAGCGCCCCAAAAGCTTGTGATTTTAAATAAATCTCTTTTAAAAGTTGATGCAAAGGTGCCAGGATGGAGGCCAGCTTATGTATGAACTTTCCTTATTAATTCACCAGCCCAAAGAAAGACCTAGGTTCCGCCACAAATATGGGAGCTGGGGCACCTTTGTTTGCCCTTGCTTTATCTTCCAACAGGCGTAACCCAATCTTGTCGACTCTGTAGCCTAAGTAGGTCACTTGAGATGCCTGGAAAACACATTTTCCCTTCTAAGGTGTATGCTCGCCTGGGAGAAACATCTAAGGACTATGTCCAAGTTCTCTAAGTGTTCCTTATTGGTCTTCCCTGTTATTAGCATGTCATCTAGATAAATGGCAACCTGGGATAGACTTTGTAAAATGTTCTCTCTCATCAGTTGAAAAATTGTACAGGCTGACAGTACCCCAAATGGCAGACTCGTGTATTGGTACAAACTCTTACGGGTGTTAATTGTAGCATACTTCTGGGAATCCTCATCTAACCGCAATTGCAGGTACTCATGGCTCATGTCTGGCTTTGTGAAGGACAGCACCTCTGACAGCTTTCATATAAATGCTCTATGTGAGGGGTTGGTATATATCCAGGTGCGAAAAGTGATTTACCATTTGTTTAAAATCCCCACAAAGGTGAACCAACCAGTCGGGCATCACAATCAGTATGACCAATGCTGCCCATCCCACAAACTGGACTGGTTTGATGATTCCTTTACTTTCCAGCCTTCTAATTTCTGCCTCTATTTTTGCCATAAGACAAATGGCGCTGGGTGGGCCTTGCAGAATTGCGGAATTACCTCCTGGTCAACATGCAAGGAGGCTTTGCTTCCTTTGATAGTCCCAAGACCTTCCTGAAAAACTTCCAGGTATTTAATGAGGACTTCACTCAGGCAGCCATTTTCTAATCGAAAAATGTTGAGCCAATTTAGGTGAATCTTTCTCAACTAGTTTTGCCCCATCAAGCTTGGGCCTGAGCCTTTTATGACAATCAATGGTAACTGAACCAGCTGCTTCCCATAAGAGACCAGAACCGAAGTTGTTCCCTTAATCTGTAAAGGTTCCCCAGTACAGGTTCCCAGTCCAGTCGAGGTCTTGCGCAAACCTAAGATATGGAATCCAGAGCGAATTTTGTTAAAGACTGATACAGTGATCACTGAAAACGGCCGCACCAGTATCAACCTCCAATAAAACAAGGTGACCATTTAACCAGACATTTATTTTGATTGAGAGATAGTAAGAACTGCCGATGCTGGAGTCAGAGATAACACAGCGTGGAGCTGGAGGAAAACAACGGCCAGGCAGCTTCAGAGGAGCAGGAAAACTGACGTTTCGGGTTGGGACCCTTCTTCAGAAATGGGGGAGGGGGAAGAGAGCTCTGAAGTAAATAGAGAGAGGAAGGTAGGTGGGATGGTGATCGGTCAGTGCAGGTAGGCAGTGGTGGGGATTGGTCAGTGAGGTGGGAGGGATGGATAGGTGGGAGAGAAGATGGACAGGTTGTGTCAGGTCAAGGACGCGGGGATGAGAGGGAGGGTGGTCATGGAATGAGGTTGAGGGTAGGGAGATTTTGAAACTAGTAAAGTCCACATTGAGACCACTGGGTTGTAGGCTTCCAAGGCGGATTATGAGGTGCTGCTCCTCCAGTTTCAGGCTGGCGACATTGTGACACTGGAGGAGGCCCAGGATGGACATGTTGTCCAGGGAATGGGAGGTGGAGTTGAAGTGATTCGCGACTGTGAGGTATTGTCGTTTGTCGCGAACAGAGCGCAGGTGCTCTACAAAGCGTTTCTGAGCCTCTGCTTGGTCTCACCGATGTAGAGGAGGCCATATCAGGAGCAGCGGATGCAGTAGACCACATTAGCAGATGTGCAGGTGAACATCTGTCTGATATGGAAGGTTTTTTTGGTTCCTTGGATGGAGGTGAGGAGGGAGGTGTAGGGGCAGGTGTAGCACTTCCTGCAGTTGCAGGGAAAGGTGCCGGGGGGTGGTGGGGCTAGTGGAGACTGTGGAGCGGATGAAGGATTCACAGAGAGAGCGGTCCCTACAGAAGGCAAAGCGGGGAGGGAAATATATCCTTGGTTGTGGGATCGAATTGTAGGTGGCGGAAGTGGTGAAGAACAATAAGTTGAATCCGGAGGTTAGTGGAGTGATACATGAAGACAAGGGGGATTCTGTCTTTGTTTTTGTTGCGGAGAGGGGATGTGAGGGCAGAGGTGCGGGAAGCACAAGAGATGCATTCGAGACCATTTTCAACCACTGAAGGGGTGAAGTTGTGGGTCCTTGAAATAAGAGGATGTCTGGGATGTTCGGGAGTGGAATGCCCCATCTTGGGAGCAGACGCGGCGAAGGCGGAGGAATTGGGAGTAGGGGTTCGCATTCTTGCAGGAAGGTGGGTGAGAGGAGGTATAGTCTAAGTATCTGTGGGAGTCGGTGGGTTTCAAATAGATATCAGTTTCGAAGTGGTCACCAGAAAGGGAGACAGAGAGGTCCAGGAAGGAGAGAGTGGTATCAGAGATGGTCCAGGTGAACTTGAGATTGGGGTGAAAGGTTTTAGTAAAGTTGATGAACTGTTCAAGCTCCTCATGGGAGCACGAGGCAGCGCCGAAACAGTCATCGATGTAGCGGAGGAAGAGGTGGGGGATAGTGCCGGTGTAGCTGTGGCAGAGGGACTGTTCCACATATCCTATGAAGAGCAGGCATAGCTTGGGCCCATGCGGGTTCCCATGGCCACCCCCTTAGTCTGTAAGAAGTAGGAGGAGTTGAAGGAGAAGTTGTTAAGGGTTAGGACGAGTTTGGTTAAGCGAATGAAGGTGTCGGTGAAGGGGGACTGGTTGAGCCTGTGGGAGAGAAAAAAGCAGAGGGCTTTTAGGCCATCTGCATGGGGAATGCAAGTGTATGGGGATTGGATGTCCATAGTGAAGATGAGGTGTTGGGGGCCAGGGAGTTGGAAGTCTTGGAGGAGGTGGAGGGTGTGGGTGGTGTCCCGGATGTAGGTGGGGAGCTCCTGGACCGGGGGGGAGAAAATAGAGTCAAGGTAAGTGGAGATAAATTCAGTGGGGCAGGAGCAGGCAGAGACAATGGGTCAGCCAGGGCAGTCGGGTTTGTGGATTTTGGGAACGAGACAGAAATGAGCGGAGTGGGGTTGGGGAATGATGAGGTTGGAGGCTGTGGGTGGGAGCTCACCTGAGGTGATAAGGTTATGGATGGTCTGGAAGATGATGTTTTGGTGGTCAGGGGTGGGGTCATGATCGAGGGGGTGGTAGGAGGAGGCATCAGAGAGTTGGCGCCTGGCCTTGGCGATGTAAAGGTCAGTGCGCCATACCATAACTGTGCCTCCCTTATCCGTGGGTTTGATGGTGAGGTTAGGGTTGGAGCAGAGAGAGCAGAAGGCAGCACGTTCTGTGGGGGGAGTTTGGAGTCAGTGAGAGAGGTGGAGAGGTTGAGGCAATCGATGTCGCGACAGCAGTTGGAAATGAAGAGGTCGAGGGAGGGTAGGAGGCCTTGGGGTGGTGTCCAGGAGGATGAGGTCTGTAGAGGGTGGGCTAGACTCGTGGTTAAAGAAATAGGCATGGAGGCAGAGGCAGCGGAAAAAGTGTTCGACATCCAAGTGTGAACGGTATTCATTGATGTGTGGGCAGAGGGGGATGAAGATGAGTCTTTTACTGAGGACTGACTCAGATCTACAGCCAACCCCAGCCCCAAGCCCTGCTGGGTCTTCACCATCCCCCCAGACCTCCCCCTCACTGAG